TGGCATGGATTGGGTCGCCTGCGACGGCGACTCGAGAATCATCGAGCTGTAAGTCATCATACCCAAAGGAAAGATAGAAAATCTCTCACTGACTGTCATTCTTCGTGCGACTTTCGTTAAAAGAAGAAGGCCTTTGGTTAAATCTGATGATAATTAAGGATTCCAATGCTCACAGGAATCTTTCGGACAAGAAGCTCACTGGCCCGGAGGCGATAGTTGAGATGACTCAATTGAAACTCAACTGGCACGATTACCAAAAGAATTTCTTTAATTAAATAATTTTTATATTTAGATTTAATTAAAAAAAATAGATTATCAATTTTTATTATGATACTCAAAGTGCATTATAATTTATTTCAAATCATTCATAAAAAATAAATATCTATACTTATAATTATTTTTAGTAAAATGATTATATTGTAGTACAATATTACAAATGTAACATAGAATAAAAAGATTAAATTATTCAAAATTTATAATAAATTAAATTCATTTTATACATTGATCAATATTATTCACTTAAATATATTTAACTATGTAAGTTTTACATGAATATCACAAATAATTATAATCAATTTTTATTATCTCTATATATTTTATTTTATTTTGGCTAAAGTTTACAATATTATCATAATTTAACAAAGAAATTGTTATTAATAACACAAATGAACGTAAATAATTATCTTACTTAGGTGTGTAATAATTTTATTAATTTAGAATTTTTTCTATAACTATATAGAGGAGCAAAAAATAGCTCGCCTTGAATAATATTCTAGTTTTTAATTCAAAATATGATAATTTTATGAACATAGCATGAGAAAAATAAACTACTCATATGTGCATAATCTTCTGTGTGTTCTCAAAACAAGATTAAAAATTTTTAAATAAATTTTTTTAAAATATATAATTATGTTTAAAAAATGTCTGTATAATACTTTTCAAGCAATATGATTTATTTTTATTTTATTATAGAATAATTTAAATCTATTTAATATATTACAGATTCAAAGAATTTATATACAATTAGAAAATTACTTTAAAATTCTATTTATAAAATTAGAATTAACAAAATAATTTTTGTAATTGCTTATTACAAAAATTTTATATATTTTTTATTTTTCTTTGTAAACTATTACAATAATCATCTTAAATTTAATCAAAGTTCACACAATGATGATCTATTTGGACTTAAAAAAATTATAGAAAATTGATTATCAAAAATTGTATAAAATTTATAAAATTATATAATGTTTAAAAAATATTTAAAAATTAAGAAATTATTATATTTAAAACAAGTTCAAGATCATTTGAATACTCATCACAAGTTTATAACCATTTGATCAACATATTGTGTGGTAAGAAAATAATTTATATTGCAATTATAAATATTTATAAATTATTAAAATACGTATCAAATGATCGATTGTCTAGATTTTTATTTTTGAATCAATCCTTTCAAAGCAATAAGATGAAAAATATGTGTTTTATCAAAATTTAAAGAATGTTGTTTACTTTAATTTTTACAGTTTGTAAAATATTCAAAACATTATGATTTTAAAAAAGCTCAATAAATTTTACATGATAATATAGAAAATTGTAATATTATTAATGATAATTTATAAAAAACACAAAACATTATTTGTAAAGATACAAAAAAATATAATTTTTTCTAGGCGGATAGCAACATTATTCTTTTGCTTGACTTGAGTTGAAATGAATTTCAAGTTTTTTAGTTCTAAATTTATTTTTCATTGTATTATTTAAAATTCAAAATAATTTTTAAAATATGATACATGTGATCTTATAGTTTAATTTGCATAAAAATTTAATACATATATACCTTGCATTTCATTTGCACAAGTTGTAAAAAAAAATTAAATATCCAAAATGATAAATTAAATAACTATGCAAATATCAACAAAAAATAATGAATTTTGAAGAATCAGATATTGAAGCAAAATATAAACTCCCTCCGTCCCAAAGTTATTGTACAATTCACAGTTTTTTGGCGTCCTATTTTTATTGTCCTATTGTTATTACACATCATATTGTACAGTGCCAATGTACAAGCAATATTATCCGGGAGAAAGCCCTGTCGCGCGAGCTTCTCCTTGCCCATGTGGGAAAGTTTGTAGTCGTTTCCGCCACCGCATTTTATGACCTCGACCAAGCGCTACTGCAGAGATAGGAATCCGTTCTTCATCTTGTCGTGGCCCATTGCATCAAAGGAATTCCCGACAGCTTCGATAAGCTCATCGATATTGTTCGGAGCCTACTGATGCTGAAGTGATTGGATCGCTATATTCATCCAAAAGAGGTCCATTCGAGAGCGAACCTTGATGTACGTTATGTTGATAACCTCCATTACCTACACCTTGATCGGTGGACGCAGAAACGATCATTGTTTATCCGCCAAAATTTTTGCTTGCAGAGCGTGCAAAAGTTCAAAGTTTTGAGAACCGAAAAAAACTTCAATAAATTTACATTTTCGCATCGCAAAACAACAACAACAAAATTATTTGAGCTTAATCCCGATGTTTTAACAAAAATCGGAGAATAATTTTGGGACGAAGGAAGTAATATATTAGAAATCAGAAACATAATGCATGATCAATATTGATGTTACGTGTTTTGATTTTAGAACAAAACTTATGAACTTTATAAACTATATATAAAGTTTTCAAAATATTTTGCATTGATTTTCATTTGAAGAACAATTCAACAAAATGAAGATTGAACATTTTATTTGAATGATTTTTTCAAAATTTGTTAAATAATTGATTCATGTGGACTAAATGCAAAAAACTATGCAATTGTGAATTATATAGTTAAATATTATATGAAAATGAAATGATTAGCTTTATTCCTATGAGTTCAATCTAATTCAATATAAATAAAAAAATTTTTGTACATATTTATAATAAATTAATTAAGATATTATTCATTTAAAGATTATTCAAAATAAGATATTTGTGTACATATATTGATGAATCATAATCAAGCATGTTTAATTAAGCCTTTCGACGTCTCAATTAACCTGGGTGTGATGGCCAATGGGAAGGAAAAGAAATTATCACTGGTTCATTCTTGAAGTCATTGTCTTATATTTGTAGTCATTGTTTTTCAGCTAGCATGATTGTAGATCATGTAGATTTACTTTAGATCTCACTATATAGTTAAATTATCTTAAGTCTACCATAAGAGTATTGATCAATATGTCATCTATTCACACTCTTATCTTCCAAACTCTAGTTATCATCTTCAATTCCTCATTAACATGTAGACAATGTGTGAATAAGCAGGACCACTACCAGAACTTCGAAGGTGGAAGCTTTGGTGACAAACATGTAGTCAATGTGCAAATATGCAGCATCACAATTAGACTTGAACTGAAATAAGTTCGAAGGTGGAAGCTCTGTTGTGTGTGCTTCACGTCATTGGCAAAGGAAAGAAAAAACTTCAATTTCTTTTGAATTCAGATTGAAATCTCTTAGCCATCTAAATTAGCCTTAATTAACTTTGATGAGGATAAATTAAACTAATATAGATAAATTAGGTGACTGACTAATATAAGCATGCATGTTTATAATTCTCACATATCATACTCAATCGTTTCTCAAATCCGAATTTCTTCCAAGACTTTGTATAGGCTCCAGTGCATAAGTTACATCTTTATAAACTCCTCTTATCTAACTAAGGTGACATCTTTAAATGAACTTCATGTTACTTCTTGTTTCTCTTTTGAATTCATCCGCAATATCTTCAGACTTGTAAATTAGTGTAATTGAAAGATGCATGTTGAACTTATCATTTTGTAGGTAAATGATTACCTCAGGGTTTTAATGTGATTGTCGATGACGTTCTTTCTAAAAATGTGATCAAGAGTTTAATCAAAGTATTATAATTTACATTTTCTTGTACATTGCCACGAGACTTCTTACATTATATGATATTTTTCACCCACATGAGACATAGATATTCTCTCACATTTATTGAGTGGAAGGGCTCATGCTAGTTAGAGACCATCATGAGAGTAGATGGTCCCTAACTAGCATGCATTATAGCGTGCAAATTTTAGGAAGGTTTTATTCCAATGCGAGTGGTGTATATCCAAATGATATCACTTGAATGAAACTAGTTGGAAGTCTGAATGGAAAGCGATGCAGAGAATGAAAATGGAAATAAAAAAAAGACGAAAATGATGCTAAGTGGATAAACAATTGCTGGGAACACCGCATCAACCCCGTTGAAGGATAAAATCAGTATGAGAGATTGTCAAATAGGCTCAAATAATATCAAACGCGAAGAATGGTAGTATGTTCCTGAACAGAAAAACATGAGAATGTCAGAATCAAATGCGGCTAAAATTCTACCCTTGTCACTCAATGAAAGAGCTTCTGAAAATCGTCCTGTCCACATGCTTGGCGCTTTCCACCGTATGTCAACCAGGAGACATTACCTCTAGCAGAATCCCATCCCTTCACTGACTGACCTGCTTGATTGCTATCTTGTCCATGCTTCCTACATCCCGTGTGCTCAGAATTATGAGCTACGAGGGCCATTGAGCGAGAACGTGCGGCCAGCTCAGGGCAACGGGATGCCGCGTCACGATCCATCGGTTCAGTTGGAAAAAACTTGGCCACAGTGACGGTGCCCCGAAAGTCGATGGGCATTATAGAGGCGCGGACCCAGTCGCTGAAGGGGTCCCGGTCCACCCGACCTCAGATCCCAACAGCGCAGGGGGCGGTATTGACCGTCGGCATCCACTCGGTGCTTTCTATCAAATTGACGAGCCTACGAACAGATAGGCCTTGATCGGATCCACCAGGCCCGCGAAGCCCGTGCTGCACGACCTCAACGCAAAGACGTAGCCCGATCTAGTGCGGAAAGGACCGATAAAGTCAACTATGCCTCGCAAGTCAAACCCTCGGCACTGCATGTCTACATGCCTCCATGTACTCTGTAGAGTGTCCAGTATCCATCCCGCCGGTGAGTCCTTCGCAATGTGCAATTTGGCCTGTGTTCAGATAAGCTGGGAGGCGGGCCAGAGGTTGACATTGCTCAACGCACAGATTCTTTCCTGTTCACAGAGACAGTCGAGCGAGGGACATGTAGAGTGAGAGTAGCTGGCGTGCGTCTTCTCCCAGCGACTTTGCGCTCAAGCGTCCGAAGGCCCAGCGAGTTGAGCGCGAGATGGGGATTTGACGAAATGCGAGCTGAATCGACAGGCCCGTCGTGTCGATATAGTCGAGCATGGACGTCGCCGACGAGCGCTCTTGAACTGCGAGGAGGCCCCGCTTCGTTCAGCGGCGTTCGGAGAGGAGCTTGGTCGTCGTCGTCGTCGTTGTAGTCTGGAGCGATGGAGGGAAGCAGCCGCCGCCGCCGGTCGGCCATTCTCACGGCATTGTGCACCTTCTTCGCGCTCGCACTCAGCTCCTCCGCACAAGGTGAATTAACGAACGATTTTTTGGCGCACCCCAGCCCACACCGTAATCATGATCCTCGTCGGATTCCTCGTGTCGAATGCGGATCGAGCCTCGAATTCGCCCCACCCCTCGAGTGCTCCGGCGGTGGTTCAGTCCCGCCCCGTGGACACGAACGAGTCGCCGTGGACGTGGACTGAGGTCCACGTCGTAGACATTCCCTCCGCCAGGGGCCTTTCGGAAAGAGCATGGGCGGCGATTCTCGCTTCCATCTCGACCGCACCCCGATTCCTCGCTCGTCGGGAACGCATATCGAGCCGGTGCTTTGCAATCGGTCGCAGCCCGGTTCTCGGATTCGTGAGTTTATTCGAGTGAGTCGTCGAGAGATTTCGAGAAGGTTCGAGAATTTTGGGGAAGGCAAGCTCTCCTTCGACTGACGGCTCGTGGTCCATCGTGCAGAGTTTCTGAGCATCGACTGCGGGGCGGATGTCGGACGGACAGACGGGGCCGGGATCAAGTGGGTGACGGACGACGGCTACGTGAAAACAGGAACGAACGTCCAACTGGAAACGGGCGAGATTTCCCCGTTCTACAGCGCCAGGGTGTTCACGGAGAAGCGGAGCAAGCATTGCTACGTGCTGCCCGTACAGAAGAACTCGACGTATCTCCTCAGGAACATCCACTATGCCGGAGAGTCGATCAGCACCGCGAGCATTGCGTTCCCGGTGAGCTTCAACGTCACCGTGAACAACGAGGTCTGGTACTCGTTCAGCGGGCAGACGGATGACGACCTTGGACCGTTTTTCTACGAGTCGGTGTTTTACAGTTTACAGAAGGAAGAGGTGGACGTGTGCTTCGTGGCAGGCGCGTCGGGAACTCCGTTCGTGAATTCCATCGAGATGAGGGAGCTGAACCCGCTCTCGTACTACGATATCCGGGACCCAAATATTAACTGGTTCCTCGTCTTGGTCGCCCGGTACAACACGGGGTCGCCGCCGAACAGTAGCATCATCTCGTGAGTGTGGCCGGCACATCACACCCAACGCCCCTGGTCATTGAGTTGTTTGTTGTGTTTCGTCGATGGCTTCTCCCTGGCAGTGCCCTCACCAGTTGCTCGGTGGTGTGTCAGTTATCCAGACGATCCCTACGACAGGTACTGGCTGCGCGTCACGAATTCCTCGCGGGCAGGCGTTGCGAACTCATCGGTCCTCGCCCCGCCCACACAAGCAGCGCTGACGACGGCCGGTTGGAACTTCGCCCCGGAACGAGTACGAGAGGACGCCTGGGTCGGGACGGATTTGTCTGTTCAGTTCATCAGGGCGGAGGGCGCGCCTCGAGCGTACGCTGCGTGGTACTTTCAGGAAATCAGAAACTTGACCGCAGCGGAACTTCTGAAAAATCCTACTCAGATGGTAGTCGGTCTGAATGGTGCGTCTCTCGCACTCAACTTGAGCACGTTCAATCCCAGGCAGGCAAGGGTCGCGGTGCAGCTCGAAAACTCCACCACTGTCGATTTGATACTCATATCGCCGAACGGCTCCAGACCCGCGATACTGAACGCGTTCGAGCTCCATTGGGCCTACGAAGTCGATCAGTCAACAACGAACGCCAAGGATGGTATGAACCTGAACATGCCGATGTACTTGTGAGTATTTCCAGCCGAGGGAATTCTGTACAGACGTTTTCATATCGAGATCTTCCATCCGCCTGTCGAATCATGCGCCCACTGCGCAGGAAAGTTTCTCGTATGCTCCGTTTCAAAATCTGGAGCTGACATTCTGACTCACTTCGTACCCCTTCGACTGATGCAGCGACCGTTTTGAAATCTCTACAGTCGATTTTCGGATTGGAAGATTGGCAGGGAGATGCGTGCTATCCAGTGGCATGGGATTGGGTCGCCTGCGACGGCGACTCGAGAATCATCGAGCTGTAAGTCATCATTGCCAAAGGAAAGATAGAAAATCTCTCACTGACTGTCATTCTTCGTGCGACTTTCGTTAAAAGAAGAAGGCCTTTGGTTAAATCTGATGATAATTAAGGATTCCAATGCTCACAGGAATCTTTCGGACAAGAACCTCACTGGCCCCATACCGGACGCGATCGTTGAGTTGACTCAATTGCAGAAGATGTAAGTTGAAGCTGGCCACCTCATGACCCATAGTCATAGTCGTCGTCTTTCATCTTTCCCTTTGACTTCCTCCTAGATCATACGATGAGGGGACGAACCTGAATTTAAAGACACATTCCAAGCTTCCAAGAATGCGAATAAAATTTCCTTACATTTCAATTTCAGAAATCTAAAAAATAACGATCCATGAATTTGAGCTCGATGCAGCTGCTTCTTTTTGTTTTCTTAAATTTATTTTTTATATACGTAGGAGATGTTGTTCAGCTTTACTAGGTGATGCAAGGACCTCTACAAGTGCGCTAACACTCTATGATGTTCCCCCTTTCATAGACGTCTAGACAACAACCAACTAAACGGAACAATTCCCCAGTCGTTGCGCACCCTCAGAAATCTGCAATTACTGTGAGTAACGAAGCTCACCATTGTAGAAACCTGTGATACGAGGTGATAAGAATTCTCATAATCTTGCTCTTAGTTTTTTCAGCTCGCTATCCATGAGTAGTGTAGTGTAGTGTAGATGTACCGCATCTCCGTCCGTTGGAGTGTGTGGTGTGCTTTCTTAGTCATGAGTTCCGAGTCCTTCTTACTCTCTTAGTCCAGGTTGCGCAATTGTCGATGAAGAAGGAAGCTTCAAGTCACATGTTTTCCCCAAATCATCTGCTCCGACTAACTTTGTCTGAGTGAATGTTTTGATACAAAAAACAGGGCATTGGACAACAATAACCTCAGTGGCGACATTCCTGCGGCTTTTGTAGATAAAGCTGGATTCACGTAAGGCTACTTTGTCGCTGTCATTATTCTCTCGATTTCCCATTCTGAAAAATGAAAATCCCTTCCACAAAACCTTGTACTAGCTTGACGCCGAAAACTGATTCAATTTCGTTTCTGTGGGATGCAGATTTTCTGGGAACCCAGGGATCTGTCAAGTAGGAGGGAACTGTAACTCAACAGCACCAAATCCGGCACCGGCCGAAGCGAGCAAATCAGACGACGATTCAAACGAGAAGATTTACATCGGCGTGATTGCTGCACTCAGTGTGATCATTGCTGTGCTCGTGGCTGGTCTCGTGTTCTGTAGCGTGAGAGGAAACCGCTACAAAAGCAGAGCAGCGCCTGTTGTAACTTGATCACGAACCCTTCAGTTGTTTCGTTCTTTATCCGTGTGGGTAACCGATCACTTCCTCCAAGCTACCCTTCTTCCCCACTCATCATGACCGGGATAGAAGCTCAAGGTTACCTATATAGATTATGGATTCCTGTCTCCATATCGATGATCAGTGTAAAATGGAAAACGAAAACTCTCGTCTCTCCCCTGAAAGGAGAAGATCCTTAGTGAAGCAGTTGCCTCTTAGAATACGTGGTTGGCATCTCTCCAACCTGGAGATGGAATCTCAAGAATGTGGAGCCTCGACACTCATACATGCGCACCAATTCAGCAAGCTAGTCGAAATACATGATCGGTGCAACTACTCGAAGCAGCCCATGTAAATGTTTTGTTGATGTACGTAACACCCAAAAGGTAATGTGTTCCGAGTGAGAAATTTTTATCTGTCTCCGAATTTGTTTTTGAGCATCATTCTTTGGTGAGAGTACCCATAATATATCGAATCCGAATATATCACAACTTCGATGTGGAGCTCCTATAGTTCTATTTACTGCTGTGATCCAATGGCGTCGGTGTGCAAACTTCAAGGTTGATACCCGTTCCAGACACCGCTAGTTACAATACGAATGGACTCGATTCCCTCGTTGGAGAGGTGAATACCTGCACTGCAAATGTTCTGTTATTGAGGCGAACTTTACATGACGAAAATGGACTTCATAAACTTTCACTGAGATCCTGGGCCGACCCTACTGGCCTACAAAACCTCTACTCTTGACCTTTGAATATGCTATACAGGGCATTCCATGGAAACTAGTTTCGACTCTTAAGTCGAAACCTCTTCAGAGTTCGAACAGTGGTCACATTCATCGACAGCTAGCATCAACTTCTTGTAAAGTTTCATGGACTCTGAATCGGAGCCATCAACTGAGATAATTAAACTTTAATCCCTCTTCACTGTGAACTTGGAACGATCAAACCCAGGAATGTTTCAAGTTCTCTGATCTCTCCCAACCCAAGCTTTCGACAGGCGATCCCGAGCAACCATCACATTTCATCCTTTATCAGAAACCCAAAATCTAGGAGTTCATAGGTCCGACAATGAAAGGACATGAGCAGGGGAACCCCTGACCACGGCCCCTGAATCATTGGTGGCTCCATGCAAACATACAGAGAATTGTGCGTCAACGGGGTAAGGTCACGATGCTAATCATGTACCATCCATAGCAAATGTTGCAGGGAAGCATCGATAGAAGCACTTCCGCTGCCACCAATCAGAAAATATTTTCATCCAAAGGCATCGTTCTCATTTAGATCCTGGGAAAGCAGAGCAAAGCAACCAGATAACAAAGTGAGGAGGCATAGTTGTAGGTATCCTCGTGCAGTGCTGCTCAACGGCACGGTGAATGTCTTGAATGAGAATGTCCTCCGAGATCCGAGTCCCATCCATCGACAAGCCTCGCGATATTGAGTGTCCACTACGTTAAGCTATAAATTGAACTGTTGCTCACACAACGTAATCCAGTCGAACCTGGAAAATCCCATGTCACCAAGGCCCTTGGAATCTTCAGCTACTCGCGCATGGGCCAAACTCTGTAACAAGAAATATGGGAAGTCCCATCAAGCCAAAACTTATTAAAATTCTTTATAAAATAAGTTCCTTCATACTGATAGTTGAGATTGTATAGAACCTGTTATCCTATACGGGCTAAAATTTCATATTTGTTATCCATTTTGATTTGTGGGTATCCTACCTCTACTCTGTTGTTTTATGGTATTATCACAATTATGACATCCATATGCCCCTATATTTCAGCAGAAAGGATGTAACTTGCCAGAGGTACTGGTATGTACTATGGGTCCTTAGATCTCAGACATATTTATCTGAACAAGAGCTTTTGACTTGATTGTTGTCTATGTAGCACTGGTTCATGTTATCGGAGTCACGAGACTTCTTATTAGTAAAGAACGGACGACAAGTTAGGACATTTTATGGTAAATATACACTATACAGTGACAGCGTATGTTTAGACTGATCGGCGGTCTGTCTGGGCGCTTGAACGAGGGAGGGACAGGGGAGGGCGAGTTTGTCCATCTGCGGTTTTGGGAGCCATGACTTAAAGGACGGAAACTTAGAAGAAACAAAGATTCAGCAGGTCTTGGAACCACCACGGGTCTTTTCGCTTTGTTATTTCCTTCATGCGATACGAGAAAATGGGAATCAGGCTGTGATATTCTACGGGTTAAAGAAGGAGATCTAAGCTGCAAGACGTACGAGACTATAAAGTTCCACTTTAAGTACCCTCTTGGGTACGTGGTCATAATATGTAATAATGTCTCAAGTAGCACGTCTTGCAATGCAAAGGAGGTTTATTAATGACACTAGGTTACTAATAGATAACACGAATGTTATTTTTTTATTGATATCGACCTACAAACATAATAGAAAAACACATAAAATCTGACCAAAAGTACAAGATTATTGACTAATATAAATATATTGTTGTGTCTACCTACACAGTAATCAACTTAACATGTAGATTGACATGTGCAAGGGCAATTAGAAGTTGGAACTGATTGTAGATTGGAGTTGTCTGCACTAGAACTGCCATTACGGCCGATAGCAATTTCAGCAGACTTGAGGCTCAAGGGAGTCAGTTCATTTTCGAATTTCTTAGGTTCTATCTTTAAAATTGAGACTGAGATAGCGAGGCTATGGTAGAGTATAACCAGTGCAGATATTGAGAGTTTTTGAATGAAATACCAGGTTTGGTTTGACTATAATCTATTTAAGATCATAGTCAAACCAAACCGGTCTTAAGATGATTAGACCCGCGACTTGGTGAAAGTTTAGAGTGTAGAAGAAATTATTTCAGGAATTCAAAGTAGATTTTATGGTGAAAATTGTGATGTTTCAGAGAGTCGAATGACAAGTCTTGGATCGATGATTTATTATTGCTGATTGAGGTTGAGTTTTCAAAACATCAATAGAGAATGAAGTTCATTGTTTTATTAAGTTACCATATTATTTGCTTTAAAATCAACATATGCCAAAACTCATGCTAACAGAGTTGCAACAATCTGGGGCTAGATGTATGATAGGTGATCATGTTTGAGCATCATTCAATGATTAACACCATGGTTAAATATTTACGAATTAGAAGACTTGGTCTTTATTAGAACTTGAAAATTGACTCTGCGACATCATCTAGGTGCTGGTTATAATGTAGCATTTTATCAAATGCTAGCGCTGACTAACAAGTCAAATAAATGCACAACACATGCAAATTTCATATCAGTACTTAGCTAATAAAATGCATCAGCAGATTTATTGACTTCTCAGCGTATTAGTTGATGGTTGAGTTTGAAGAGGAGCGGTTTGGCGATTTGGGTGGAGAGCGTGGTAGCGACACTTGAGATCTTACTTAGAGTGGAACGAGGTATTGGCTATTTTTACCATTCCTAACGATTGATGCGGACGCGATTGATTTCGACAGTGGATCTCTTGTGACATTGCATTGCGTAGCAGCCTTGTTGATATGAAACATGGATGGGATGTACGTAGCCAAGAAGTGTCTATGACGGTACATAGGTGTAGTGGTCTCCATTGAACTTGAAAATTTCATTCAAGAATTTGATAAGTGGTGTGATATGTTGTTTGTGCGTAACTTTACATTGTGCACAAACTTCTTTGCATGGAAGTGATTGTTTCAGCATTTGGAGACACCTCCCATTGATGACTATCATGAAGTTGAGAAAGATATGTTGTGGAAATTTACCGCATGGGGATGTCATTAGTTTTCAAACTACTTGTCTAATACCCAAGATGTGTTATGAACAAGCATTAAAAAAATAGATTTTAGTGTTAAAATTTAAAGTTTTAAACAATTATATGAATATGTAAATTCTATATGTGACAAATGATTCCAAAAGTTTCAATATCTGGATTATTATACAAAATTATTGTTTAATGATGAATACTCAAGACTTTTTGTGATTTTTTTTTTGACATAAAAGTTTGAAGTACTTGCATTTTTTAAAAGCAATATAGCAAATTGAGATCTAAATTGAACACAATTTGAATATTCATAAACAAATTATGGCAAAAAGCATACTTTTCAATTATTCATATATACATGAAAAATTACATGATGTTTCATCATGATTTATATTTGGCAACAATATATTGATTCTAATATGCTTAATGAAATAATATTAAAATTATGTGGCATGTTGGATCAATTTATCATACAAATCTTTAATTGAAGATGTCAATAATTCAATGATTATGTAAATACTTCTTCATGTTAACGTTAACTCCAATTAAAGAGTAACTTTGAGACCTAGCTATTTATAGCTATGACGGTTGTCTGAACCGAGGATAAAATACCTCGAGGTTGACCTTGTATACGGGGCTTTGAAAACAAGATCTGAAGTAAATGCTCGAGGATAAAATACCTCGGGGTTCACCTTGTACAAGGGTATTTTCTTGACAAGATCTGAAGTAAATGCCCGTGTTCTTGGTGGATGTAACCCTCTTCCCCAGGATAAACCACGTTATTTCTGTGCTAGTATAATTCTCTGAAGTAAATGCTCGTGTTCTTGGTGGACGTAGCACTCTTCCCTGCGTTCGAATAATTCTCTGAAGTAAATGCTTATGTTTTTGGTGGACGTAGCCTTCTTCCCCGAGGATGAACCACGTTATTTCTGCATCCTATAATTCTTGAGTTTTAGAGTGACAAATGGTATCCGAGCAGGTTTTAAAGATTCAAAGTCTAAAGAACTTTTGGTTTAGAACTTGTGATGTTTATGACTGTGAATTTGTTCTGTTGAAACTGATGAGAATCGGGTGACAGAAGTTTTTGAAAAGTTAGGTCAATAAATCTTGAAGCGGCGGCCTGACGAGTTCTAGAGAAACATAGTTCCTGATGCACGATCTGGTGGATGCTCTGGAGAAATCTGCAAATTCGATGCTTCGGTGGCCGGAAATAACATCTGTCGGAGATAGATGGCAGTGCACCGAACGAATTGCAAAGATCATCGACAAAGCGCAACACCATATTTTCAACAGTTCTTACGGTTTGCTCTTGGATTGCGCATGATGCAAAGATGGGTTGATGAAAGGTGTTGGCTCGCTGTTGGCTGACTATTGCATAGTGGATAAATAGATAGCTCGGGCCTAGACTCACCCAACATAGACGGACGTGAATTTCCAAGATTGCCCGTGAGCCTTTGTTAGTTAGATCGGTCAAGCAATCGACCGAGCAAGTATCCGTTTTGGCTCTGCCCTTAGAGATTTGATCCAATATGATCTGCTGTTCGGATTTCGACCAATGCACCCAATCCATCAAACTCCCTCCATGGAGCTAGACTATGAATCGGTCGGCATATGCTTCTTGGAGGAGCTCTGGTCGAGATTTTTTGACTAAACAATTGACTGTCCGTGACTGTCAGATTTTCAATTGGTATCACATGGAACAATTAAACAAATGGGAGAACCAGCACTGAAAGGTTTGACAGATCACGTCATCAAGCAGCTCTCTACACCTGAGATAAACTCTGGAATGCTTGTGGTCATTTTGAGTTTGCTGGCACATCTTTTGTATACGCTAGGAGGGATTTCCGTTGCCAGTCGTGAGACTCCAAATAACTCCTTGGTTGGCATGCTTTCGAACTCTTCAATGACAGTCCGAGTAAAAACAATTTTGGCACTTCAGACACAAGCCGAAGTGGATGCAAGCAGTGCGAATAATCTTTTGCTGTGTGGGCTGACAACTCTAAGAGCATTGCGTGAAACAGTTTTCGTTGAGAAGGGTTCGTTTGACTGAAGCTATATTGGATTCATTGCATGAACAAGCAGCCATGCTAGCTGCACTTATTACTGCAGATCCAAAGCTGGTCCTTGGTGTTTCTTCAAGGCACCCACTGTCTATATGGGATGTGGCAAAGCTGATGGTATCTCAGAATAATGGAAATTCCTTCGCCCATGAGTGCGGAGATGGAAGCTAGCTGGAAGCTTATTGTCTCCACACTTCCATCAAATCCCAGTGATCCCGCTCCATGGAGACGGAGGCCAAGGCAAGACGGTGGCGGCCTGAAACAAAGCCGCATATTAGATCGAGAAGGTGATTGACGAGGGGCAGTTCGTGGAGCTAACGCTGCTGGACAGATCGAAGCCGGATGCATCCAACGCGAAGCCCAAGAAATCGGGGCTGCGGAGCAGGAGAATGGCAACATTTTGGCTTTTAATTTCTTGGACAGGCGGATGATCGAGTGCCGATGATGAGTATGTCAAGGTTGAGATGGACGGGGCAGCAAGCCATGGAGAGGAAATGCGAAAAGAGAGAAGAGACATGTTTTTAACAGGTTTAGAGCGCGCAGAAGCTAGCGCACGCAGGTTGACAAGGTACCGCGCAGGGCCGTTCGAATGCGATCGGCACGGCAGGAGGGTGAACTGCGAGTGGTCGTGCGGTGTGCCCGAGCGGCAAGGCGGGAGGGAAAAATGACATTTACAAGGAAAGAGTGGCCGAAGCGGCCCCTAATCCATGGCGGATTCCCCCACTCCCGCGTGACAAAGCGAAAAGCCGCGCGCGTCGCGTGGAGGATTGGCGGCCGACGAGCGGGTAAGGCTATCCAAGCGCGTGGCGGTCGAACATGCTATCGTGATGGGCTGGACGAACGAGGTCGACCGAGAAAATTGCAGTTGGGAGTAATCATGTTATGCGGGCAATCGTAGTCAGGGGTAACCACGGTAAGTCGGTGCATCATAGACCGCCGAGCCAACCGTGATCAACGGGGTTAACTATGGTCAATGAATCAACCGTGGTAGGTGTGGCAAACTACGGTTGGTGGGACTAACCGCGGTAGTCAAGGCAACCGAGGTAGGTGGGCCAATTGTGGTCGGCGAGGTAACCATAGTCGGCCAAGCAAACCATGTCAGGACTACCGTGGTATGTTAACTGTGGTTTGATATTGAACATGGTAGATGTGCACGTGGTTGTGATTATAGTGGTTGTCACTGTCGTAGTTAAAGCTTAACGTGGTTGCAGTCGTGATCGTGGATCTAACTTTGTCGATAGGCCAACCATAGTTGTTAGGGCAACGCAGTCAACTGCAGACGAACGGTGACGGTGACGGCGGAGCCCGACAATGACGGCCGGAATCAACAGTGACGGTTGGGGACGACTGTGACGGAATATTTTGTTTGTAATATTTCGTCTGCAAGAATCTTCATCAAAATATAGGCGAATTAGATATCGTTAGGAAACTTTCGACACAACTAAAACATGTGGACCATTTTCAAGAGCTGAAAGATGACCCAGACCGAGCAAATTTCCTCTAGAGTTAATTTTCTATCTAGAATTTTGACGGGCAACGGTCGCGGGCAACGTTTGTTGCGGCCTATAGGAAGTTGTGGACGACGGTAAGTTGTAAACAACAATTGCGAGCAACGTTTGTTGCGGGCGAAAATGAGTTGTGGGCAAATGTCGCGGGAGAAAATGTTTTAGTTGCGGGCGATATAGGTCGCGGGCGACATGAGTCGCGGGTGACTGATATTGGAGTTGCGGGCGACTGTGGTCACGAGCAACAAAAGTTGCGGATGACGGACGGTACTTGCTGAGATTAACTCCAGTCAAGGAGTAACCTCGAGTCCTAGCTATAAATAGCTAGAACGGTCGCTTGGAATGTGGATAAATACCTCAAGGTTTTCCGTGTACAATGAGTCTTTTTTACCAGATCTACAGTAAAGTGCAGAGCGAGTTCTTGGAATGTGGATAAATACCTCAAGGTTTTCCGTGTACAATGAGTCTTTTTTACCAGATCTACAGTAAAGTGCAGAGCGAGTTCTTGATGGACGTAGCACTCTTCCCCGAGGGTGAACCACATTACTTGGTGTTCGTTTATTTCTCAGGTTTTACCGTGACAAATGATATCATAGCTAGGTTCCGGTTCGGACTTGGTGAATGTGACAATTTGTCGGCGGTTTTTCTGAAAAATGATTTGTTCGACGATCATTTAGAAAAGTTATGTCAAAGTTGTAGAATTTCGACAAAAATCTGAGCACTGTGACGAGGAAATCCTGAAGAAGGTCTATTGAATTCTGCGTTGATTGGTGTCGGAACAGTGAAATTTGCCTGCTCTTGGGATCTGCGGGAACCGTAAGGAGAGATGTGAGCTAGCTCGAGGCGAGTCGTGGATTGAGCATGGGGTGGTGAAAGGTACAGAGAGTGAATACTGTCATTTTCGTCTTGTAGGCGAGTATAGGGCATGTCTTTTGTGTTGTCAGAGTGATGGCCATTTTGCAATCGTCTACCTATGATTGTGGAATCATCAATCTGTAGTCACTGGTCTGAGAGTCTTAGGAATTCTGCTTCTGGAGCAGTGAGCTAGGGTCGGGAAGTAACAGACTTCAGATTGAAAAGATAAAGAGCTTCTCAAGAGGTTGAAAAACCCATTGTGTACGAAAAATCGACAAGAAGGAGAGTCTGGGGTCGAAGAAGACGACTTTGCAGCCTTGACAACCGACCTCGAGTGTGTTCAAAACTTTCAGCATCTTAAAACTCCGTGTATGAAACTCTCGGGTTAACTGTGAGTGTGGCATTTCCCACGTACAGTTGATCAAACACTTTCCGTGCACTTCCTCAAATGCTGGTTCCGATTTGAGATTTTTTGTTCTTCGTTCGATGATTGGCTTGATTTCCGTAAGGGGGGATGTACTCAGAACCTTCAATATTTTGGACTCAAGACTACTAGCATCAGATTTGAATATAGCTGATAGGCCGCAGTTCAAGTACTGTCCACGAATGCGACATTTCCGTTACATTGCGGCAGGGTGAACAATTGAAACCTCCCGCGGGAGCTAGCTTATGGAGGTCAAATATGTCAGCAGATTGACACTTCCTCAACTTTGAGCTTGCGACCTTCACGTACTCAGGTCGACAAATGTACCAGTTTTGAGGGCAGTCGGCGAGTAGTGAAGATCACCAATCCTCCGTGCGGTTAGTACCCTGTTAGGGCAGCGAGGGATCGGCGAGCAATTGCTGTTTACAAGTTTATCCTGTCCGGGATGATGGTTGTGTACCACCAGAGTAACTTCGGAGTTCAATGGCTTTACTCTATATCTCCTGGCCGAGATTTTTTCTAATGTTCGTCACTCATATCATTATACTGGAGTCCGGGCATATCGGGGGTGGGCAGCAGCATGTGAGTCGCCGGGAAGACAGGTCGCGCAGGGGGCCCCGGGTCTGAGGAGGGAGTTCAGGAGAAAAGACATGCCTTTTAAACGCAAGCGGAGGAGAGGACCCTCCCCGCGCAGTTTTGGCTACAGGAGGAGAGGAGCACCTCCTCTTCCCCCAAGACAAGCAGGTAGCTGAACCTCTCCCCGCGCGGTTAGGGCACGCGCTGAGCATCTCCCCCCGTGAAGTGGTGGAGGAGGTAGCCGACCGCAGGAGGTAGCGGCAACGGGGAGCACCAACCCTGATGTAGACGTGGAGGTAGTCGTGCAAAGTAGAGGAGGAGTAAGCGGCAACGAAGTAGGGCAGGTAGCCGCGAAGTGATGGAGTCGGTAGCAGCAGCGGGGAGCAATCCCCCTTCCCCCTTGCGCGGTGGCCGCAGTACCATCCTTCCCTTCCCGAGAGATCGGACCTAACATTGTCATGGTCGCGGTAGGAAGGACTAACCACTCGAATAACCACGGACGAAATGGTGACTGTGGTCGAGGTTTACCAAAGTAGTGGAGGAACTATGGTCATATGGGAAACTATGGTCGGCGGATCAACCGTGGTAGGTGTGACAAACTACACTTGGCGAGACTAACCACGGTAGTCATGGCAACCGTGATAGGAAGGTAAACTCGGTAGGTGGGCAAATCGTGGTCGGAGAGACAATCACGGTAGGTGTGGTAACCATAGTCATCCGGACAAACCATGTTAGGAGAAAAACTGCGGTCAACAGGACTACCGTGGTCGGCTAACCGTGATTTGAGTTTGAACGTGGTTGACATTGAACTTGTTTGGTAGTCAACGTGGTTGAGGACAAACGTCATTGGCAGGGCAACACAGTCAACGAGTGACGGTGACGATGACGAACGGTGGTCGACGGTGACGGTTGACCAACGGTGACGGAATATTTTGTCAAAAATATTTCTCATCAAAGTATAGGCAAATTGGATATTGTATGAAAGTTTTTGACACAAATAGTGTGTCTGGATATTTTTCAGGAGCTGAACAATGACTCAAAAGGAGTAAATTGACTCGAGAACGGTCATTTGATAATATAGGTCGTGGGCGACGGGAGTCGCGGGTGATAGATATTGCAGTCGCGGGCGACGGTGATCACGGGTGATTGAAGTCGCGGATGACGGACAATACAATTGCGAGTGACGGCTGTTACGGGCAACGGTGGTCACGGGCGACTAACAAAACTGTTGCGGGTGACGGTTGTCACAGGGTCGCGGGCAACGGGTATTCGCGGGCGACATGAGTCGGAGTTGACGGATATTGCAGTCGCGGATGATGGACGATACTGTTGCGGGTGATTGTGGTCACGGGCGACGTTTGTCGCGGGTGACGGATGGTAAGTTATGGGCAGCTTTTATAATTAATCGAGTGCGATGGTGAGTGATAGTCACTAGTGAGAGTCAGTATGAGCATCGTAGATTGTAAGATTATTGAAACTAGATGTGTGTCTTTCAATGAGCCATGTTCCTTGAAAGAGGGGGAGATTTATTATGATCTTTGTACTGATTTTGACAAGTGAAAATTTTAGTATGTAATTGTGGGAGAATTTGATCATTATGTGATTAATGATCAAGATATTCACAAGTGAAGTTAATTACAATACTGTAAAACACAACGATATCATATATTTTATCAGATAAGAGTGTCTGATAAAATAATTGAGTTAGTCAAGATGGATGGTAGACTTTGGTGATTGAGCAAGTCAATCTTGACGGTAAACTCTGATGATTGAGCTAGTCAAGATTGATGATAGACTCTGGTAATTGAGCTAATCCATCTTGACGGTAAACTCTGATGATTGAGCTAGTCAATCTTGACGGTAAACTTTGGTGATTGAGCTTGTCAAGATAGACACTAAATTTAATCCAGCTAATGCGTTGGTCAAAGTTATTTCTATGGAGAGTTTCACGCGACACTGTGCTATCATGCAAGTTGTGCATGGTAAGCGCAGGTAAAGTTTGCTAACATAGAATCTTCACTTATCTCTTTATATGTTTACTCTATCCTGTGATGGCTACGGTTTAAATCTAGTTAACTCTCGTGTAAAGAGTAGCCTTGTATTGGGATTCTTTCTTGAATTTCCCGCTGAGTAAATATATAGGTTACGAGATTTTTGTTCTCTCTATGCTAGCTGGTTTTTAGTAAACTCTTTATGTTATTACTCTATCTTGTGATGGCTAGGTTTAGTTCTAGTTAACTCTTGTGTAAAGAGGGGACCTTATGTTAGGTTTTTGTCTAGAACTTCCCGCAGAGTAATAATGTATGTTATAGAGGTTACA